CGGAATTTTCTCATCTACATAATCTACACTGGATAGCTCAGTTTCAAATCAAATCTTCCCACAAGCTGAACCATTCAAAGCTGTGCCCTCAAGAGCAGATAAGAAAAATGACAGGATGATACGCTTAAAAATACAATAACTTTTTCCAAAAATATTTCTAAGCGTAATTAAAACAAAAAACCACCAACCTATAATAAAACCCAAACCCCCAAATAATTACTGGATTATATGTAATTTTTAATAGAGTAATTATTTGGCTTAATTGGTTTCCACTGAGAAAAAACAGGAGATACTGTTTTAAAGCATGCATTTATAGCATTCATTTACTTAAAAATAAATGCAATGCTTAATGCACAGTGACTTCTGTGAGAAGGTGTTTCACTGTAGAGATACTTCCTTGCAGGCACACAAAATGTCTTCAGAGGCACAGAGACATTTGGTTGGCCCTGTGCTTAACAAACAGCTTCACCACAATGAACTTTCAACTGCACATCAACCCCATGCTCAGGGTCTGAGGATGTTTTCCTTCATTTGAAAACACCAGTGGGCTCACATGTTTTAAGACTACAAAAAAATCTTTGTAAAGTAATCTAGTTTCTTGTATAATGCAGGAGAATCAACTGTTTTTTTAGAATTCATTAATGTAGTTTTGATGCACTGCAGTCTAACAGCCATTCCTATTGGATCATAGACTACAAAAATTGAATAATTCACTACCATTTCAATGGTTAAGTAACGTCAGTGCTCCACTAAAATTCCTGATGGCTGGTGCAGGATTTATTTGACCAAAGGCAGACCCCATATGCAGTTCCTACACAGCAAGTGACAAAAAAAAATGGGCAATTACAGAATGTGATTTGACTTATCCTAAAAGAGATACCTGCTGTGATCAGAGGAAATATGCCAAAAATTGGCTGCTGCTTCTTTCCTGTCTGCAAAGGGAGCCTCAGGTGAGTAGCTCAGATGCAGATGTGTACAGGTAATGTTACTCCCCCTCTTACCTGCTCCAGTTTCTGCTGTCGTTTCAGTAGCTCTATTTCCAGGTCTGATTTCTTCTTTTGTGCTTCCTCTTCTTTCTGTTGTTTAATAACTTGATCTCGTTTCCTTTTCTCCATCACCTTCTGTAGCTCCGGTTTGTTCTGAGGTGCAAGACCCCTTCAAATTAAACGAGGGAGAGAAGAAAGATCAGTTTTAATTAGCAGAAATTCACACAGAATTGCAGGTAGGTTTTCTAAACTGAAGCAGTTGCCTATTTAGATACATTGCGATATAAATAATGAATTAAAAGGAGAAAAAAGTATGCAGACATTTGCCTGGTTTCTAATCGAAACCCTGAACAAGAATTTAAGCTATATAACCCACTGTAGATATTTAGCATGCATGATAGTATTTCTCCTGTATAATTCATTATTTTAACTTTCATCTTTAGTCTTCAATCTATTCTCTCAATTCCAAAAGAATGGATTTAAAAAAAAAAATCACAAATCACTACACTAGCAGAGTTAAAACCAAATTTTGGACAAGAGAAATTCCCTTGCTGGATGATAACTCAGAATGACTTTGTTCAGACAGTCCTGTGCAGGGTATTCTACCCACAGAATTTTGCATGGACAAAACTAAAAAGTGGTCTGTCCCACTGCTCCTGGAAATGGTGGACTCTCTCCTTTCCTTGAAAATGTGACAGCTTTACCCACGCTTGGCTGTGAAGCTATTTCCAGTGAGAGCTCCCAGGCTACACTCAACATCACAGAGAGCCTAAGACAACAAAAATCCAGAATAAAAAAGTTGCCGTCACCTTGGAGACCAGACAAAGCCTGGAGGATTCTCCCTCTCACAAGCCTTTGGGTACTACATCAACTGAATGTTTCAAGTCTGTTCAGCACAAATTGCTTTCCAAGCCAACTACTCCGGAATGAGAAAGCTCCCTCTTAGGAAAAGA